TACACAATTGATCTATGTATTGTGATGAATTTTATGAGCCCCAATAAATTGATTTAAAAAAAATTAAAAAGTCATGCCCGTGGTTTCCTCTTTACCTCTTTCTTCTCTGCGTTGGTCTCCATCCTCAAACCTTTCCTTTGAAAATCCCTGCCCTTAGTACTCAAAACGTCTTTAAGAAAAGTATTCCTCAATGAAAAAATCAAATGAAGCAAACAAACCAAAATCCATGAAGCTCAGAAGATTCATGGTAGAAAATGAGGTAGGAAAGATGACAGAGAAAATGAAGCATTTATTTTACTGGCAAGCTTCACCAGTGTCTCAGATCATAGAGTAAATGCTGAAAAAGAGACAAGCAGGTGGGGCTGCACTGGCTGGCATTGCTAATCTAATTGCCAGTTGGGCAATGTGACAAACCCACGTATGCAAACCATGTGTTGGTTCTCTTACTCCATGTCAGTGTACGTCATCTGGACAAGGAAAACCAAAAATATACACTGCTTAGAGCCAAACAATGCACAGCCTTTGAAAGTAAAGTTCTTGTGTCAAAACAGACTTTATGCAATCCTTCAGTTCATTCAGTATCTGTAATTGATTACAAACTATTTTATTATTCTTCTGGGTTTTTTTATCATCAACAGTATAGGATTTGTTTGAAAAATGAAGATTTTGAGATTGATAATAGTTTTCTTGCTAATTTTACACTTTATGTTAATGATAGTTTTTTTCCAGCCTATTAATCCAGTTTCCTTCCCTTTCATTTTTTAAATCAGATGTAAAAATGGAAGCCTTCAATTGTTGAATTCAGAAAATAATAAAAGAGAGCATTATATATTCAATTGGTGTACAAATTCATGACAGTGTGATTTACCTTGCTGTGTTTCTTGATCATACACTTTCATATGAACAACCCCAGAAGTCTTATTTCGCAGGACGGTGGGATTTCTTCCATCTCTTTTGTTGCAGGTCCCCAGCTGAGCTAGGTTTTGGTCTGCCCACCACAATTTCTTATCTAAGTATGGAAGATTTTTGAAAAGAAAATATAATCTTATTAAATAATAATAACCAGCTATTAAGCTTCAATACACTATGATATAATTTGTTATATGTCCAAATTATTTCTAAAAGAAACAGTATACCACTTTTACTTTAACAATGCAAATCATAGTGACATTTGGATGTTCAAATTTCCTTCCCCATCCGTAATTAGAGATCCTTGAAACAGGATTTTTCTTTTCTTTTTTTTTGAAACAGACATGGTATAAATAAAACTATATGTCAAATTAACATGAACTATATTTTATTTTTATATTTTTAATATTTATATTTTATTTTATCACATACACATGATAATAGTAGTTTATATTATATTTGAATGAGACTGGAAAAATCCAAAGAAATATTTAAGCAATAATTACCAAAAAAGTTCATATATATTTTTAAGATCATTTTATTGAGGTATTTTATAGCTCTTATAGCAATACATACATCAACTGTATCAAGCATATTTGTACATATGTTACCATCATTATTTTCTAAATATCTCCTAATTTTTTATCATTGGAACTGTTCATTACTGAGACTCCTTCACAGAGAAAAAAAATCAAATTTTTTTTTTTTGCTTAGCTGTGCTTCTTTGTCCAAAATTTAATTTGTACAGTTAACTTGTATTAGGAACTCATTTGGAATTAGACAATGCAGTGTGCAACAAATAAAATATAGTTTTGATCCTCAGAAAGCAAGAAATTCAGTGAGAATTAGGTATATATTATTATATTTTCTCAAATATCATAGGAAAAAAATGAAAAGATTCTTATTCTCATTTCATGAAGGAAGAACATGATTCTGATCAAGATGAATGAATATACATAATTTATCTTCTTGTCTCCCAAACTTGTGATTGTTCTAAATACATTCATGTTTAAGATAATAAATAATTTATTAAATGAGATGTGAAATTTTGAAGATTTCTAGCAAATTAGACTATTTCAACAAGAATTAATTGCATATGACTATTCATCCAAGGTGCAGTACAGCACTAATGAAACACAACACATCAGTTCTTGAATGCTCCCCCCTCCCCTCCCCGCGCCACCCCCCCACTACATGACTCAGTTCTTTTTTACAAATCCGACTAGACTGAAGTACACACAGTGGTACAGATAAGAGTTCTGGACACATGGACTCCAGGACAAATAAAACCCTAAGGAACAGTAGTGGGAGTAGTGATATCATGAGGGTAGGGGGATGGTGGGGAAGGAAAGGGAGAGAAAGGGGCAACCCATCACAAGTTTGGAAATATAGCCCCCCCAAAGGGGCACAAATAACAGAAATGTGGGTGAAGGGAGACAATGGACAGTGGAAGATACAAAATAACAATAAGAATATATAATTGATCAAGAATTCACGAGGCTGGGAGGGTGGAGAGGGAGGAGGAAAAGAAGAAGCTGATACCAAGGGCCAGCAGAAAGAAAATGTTTGGGAAATGTTGATGGTGACATATGTACCAGTGTGTTTAATACAATTGAATGATGGGTTATTATAAGATTTGTACGAGCCCCCCAATAAGATTATTAATCAAAACAATTAATTGCATAGATTAAGTGTAATTGATAGCAATATGTTGTACACCTTTAAAAAGTTTAATTCACAAAGGAAAAAAAAATTGAATATCATTAATAACAGTTGAGACCACAAAACAATTTCTACCTAAAGTTAAAGTAATGTTACTTTTATTTTATTTTTATTGACATTGGTGAACGTATACAGAGAAATTTGGTTTTCCATTAAACATTCGTATACATTTTGTTAAATGTCTGATTTCAACCCCTACAATGTAACAGAACTCGTCCCACTTCTTCCAGTTGTTCACCATTACTATGCTTCCTCTCTATTCCTGCTTCCTCTCTAGTTTCATCTGTGGCAAGCATGCCTTTTGGGTTTAATTTGGCTGCTTGTTATAAGTAGTTTTTTTGTTCACTTTATAGGCCTGCATATTGAAAAAAGATAAGCCCCGAAGGGCTGGGGCAGGGGTGTTGAGTTCAGTTCTAGACTTGCAGGATATCCAAGGGCCATAGTCTCACGGTTCCACCAATCCCAAACAGACCAGTATTCCTGGTCTTTTTCTAATTTTCTTTTTTCTTCCATATATTTCTCCTACTCTATTCACACCCCAAAAAACCCAAAGTCACTGCCACCAAGCCAATGCTGACTCATAGCTATCATATTTATCATAGTTATCAGTGTATCAATGCTGACTCATAGTTATGTTTATCATAGTTATCAGTGTTGTCAATGCTGACTCATAAAAAACCCTGTGGGTTTTCAAAATTGAAACTGTTTACAGGAATAGAAAGTTCACATTCTCTCCCACAGAGCTATTGGTTGCAAACTGCCAATCGTGTGGCTCACAACCCAACAGTTAACCATTACACCATCAGAGTTCCTTCTCCCGAGACATCCTCTTGTGATCCTTGTCAAAGCTGCTGGCTTTGGTGGCCAATAGTCAGACCCTGTGGGGTTCTTCTGACCTCAGTGTCGGAAAGGCCGGGGTTTGTGAAGTCTGTCTTTTGGGCTGATTGCCTCCAGGGATTTTTCATTTTCAGGTAATTTAATTCTATTACTCAAACAATATAGTCTGTATCTTCAAGAGGTAATTAGGCTCGTTAAAATAGCATGATGTTTTGATTAAATCCGAGCTAACTTTCAGTATGGCAACATTAAGAATATTGACATCCATAAGAATCATGGGACAATATTCCTTGTTTACTGCATAGCACATGTCGCAGGCATAATTCTAAACACTACTAATAGATTGCTTCATTTAATCTTCACAACTCTACAAAGTATTATTACAAGGTATGGTAATCAGCTCATTT